CACATTTTTAGACATCTCCAAGTTTTGAATTTCCTTTTTTGAGGGAAAATCCATATTGAATTTAATTCAAAATTTCTTATTGTTTTCACTTTTGTCTAAGTTTTGCTTTTTGTCCGTGATGCTGCCCGACTGAAGCAAAAACTCCTCTCATTCATTCTTTGAAGACACATCAATTTTCTTAAGATTTCAAGGCTTTGTCATGTGGCAGCAAAGGGCAAACAGACTGTATAAGAAAGAGAAAGGGAGCCAATCGTTTGGAATTTTTTAACTTACTCTTACTACAAGAAAAAGTTAAAATCATGCAATTCCTAGCAGAAATGCAAAGATGCGTAATAATGTGATTTTCCCAAATCCACTTGAAGAAAATTGAAAAATTTTAGTTGTTTTTATTTTCCTTTTTAGCTTTACAACAGAAGAACGACGGTTTATATGCATTTGCACAACACACAGCAATTTGTAGAATAAAAACTCTTCATTATTCAGATTGCCATAGATCTTGTTGTCGAGGGTGAGCGCTAATAAATTTTGCGCTTTGAACAATTAGACGTTTGCATTCTCTGGAGCGGTTGTTTGGTGTGTTATCGCACCATGTAAGGGAAGAGTCTACAAAAGCAAGCTATGCAATCCGAAATTCCAAAAAAAAATCACCACAAATCATAGCCTTCCTCTGGGACTTTTGCAGCCATATTAACCCAATAAATGAAGAGCTAAGGTTGCCTTTGCATAAATCTAAATACTCTGCATATCACAATAACGTATTGTCCTATTCTACTTTTACTATGTTCTATAAAAAAAGGAATTACTAGCCGCGAAAGTGACCTGTTTTGCTTGGATGAGCAATTTAGAGTAGGTAATATGAGGGTCATCGAGGAAACTAGCTCAAGTAATACCAATTTGATGTGAAAGTGAGCAAGTCAGTCAGCCTCGCATAATTAACTCTCATTTAATTCACGTAAAAGCCAGACAAGGCTGAGAAAACATAATTTTGGGTGAGACATTAGGCTTTAGAGACTAAAACAATCAAGTTCTACAGTATAGCTAAGCCATTAGATTCGCAAATCGCAGAAGATGTAGAAGACAGGGACTGCACTGCGCGATGTTGACAATTCTATGACGCTTTGTTTTTCACAAAAGCGTTCGGCTAAGAACATTATGGGAAAAAAGCAACAATTGCAGCAAACGTGTTGCATACATTTTTCGAGCTTTGTTTCAAACAGGAATAATTTGGGTAAATGTACAAATTGGATTAATTTAGCTAATTAGTTAGACATTCAGTTTTTTCGGAAATGTTATCATGTAGGGAATCAAAATTTAAAAGTGTACCGGCTTTGAAGAGTTCGGCGGCAGGGAGCGCTTATTGCAGCAAGAGATACCGTTGTAAAATGATTTGAATTTTGAATTACC